TCTTAAATTAACTCAGAAGAGTTTATTTAACAAAAAACAGCAGAAAGGGTACAAAAATCCTTTCCTTAATGAAAGGCACAAAACAGAAAAAACTTCAGTCCAAAAAGGATCAAAAAGGAGAATAATAATCTCTAAAACAAAAACTCAGGAAAAAGACAAAACAGCCAAATTAAACACAGGGAAACAATCCAAAAAAAGCTTTCAAAGTATAGTTCTTTGAACTAGAGCAGACTTACGGCAGCAACTGGCTTAGGAACCACAATAACCAAGCAAAGATACAAAGGAAGTGACCAGCTTAAATACACAGCCCAGAATGAGGCACATGTGAAAACAATAGCACTGATTACAAGAGGAACAACATTGACACGAGAGTACCATAGGGACCTCTAGTGGCAAAAATAGATACTGCCGGGACCCACGTACTCGATGGACATCCAGTATTCTGTGGACTGTGTAAGCTGGCTGGCCACCGATGATACGAGGAGGAGGAGATTTACCTGTCGCAAGAAAAGGAGAAGACAAAACAGGTTTTAACAGGGAGACATGAAAAGTGGGATTTATCTTCAAAGACTTAGGCAAGTATAAACGATAAGTAACTGGGTTAACTTTCCTGGCAATCTTGAAGGGACCGATGAACCTCTGGGAAAGTTTACGGGACACCACCCGTAAGGGAATGTTCTTAGTGGAGAGCCAGACTCTTTGGCCAGGGCGCAGAGTGGGGGCAGGTCTGCGTCTGCGATTAGCCTGGTGCTGGTACTGCTGAGAGACCTTAAGGAGCTTGAGTCTGGCCTTTTTCCATGTCTGGCGGCAGCGCTTAACAAACTGCTGAGCAGAGGGAACTGCGACCTCCACTTCTTGTTCAGGGAATAGTGGAGGGGTGTACCTGAACTGGCACTCGAAAGGGGACATGCCTGTAGCAGAGGAGTGAAGGGTATTGTGCGCGTATTCCGCCCACATGATGAAGGAAGACCAAGAGGATGGGTTGTTAGCTGCCATACACCTCAGTGTAGTCTCAAGATCTTGGTTAAGCCTCTCTGTTTGCCCATTGGACTCCGGGTGGAACCCAGAAGATAGACTCACTGTAGCCCCCAGGGATTGACAAAATGCCCGCCAGAATCGGGAGGAAAATTGGGGTCCTCGATCAGAGACGATGTCTTGTGGGATGCCAAAGACTCGAAAGACATGGGTTATAACCAATTCAGCCGTTTCTTTAGCGGTGGGTAGTTTGGGCAGAAGAATAAATCGAGCTGCCTTGGAGAATCTATCAACTATGACCATGATAGTGGTGTTGCCTTGTGATAGCGGAAGTCCAGTGATAAAATCCATGGAAAGGTGAGACCAAGGTCTATGAGGTATGGAGAGAGGGTGCAACAGCCCCTGAGGAGAACGGTGAGAGACTTTACTTTGGTTGCACGTGGGACATGCGTTTACAAATGTTGTCACATCCTCCTTGATGGTTGGCCACCAAAATCGTCTTTGGAGGAACTCAAGAGTGCGAGAAGTACCAGGATGACAAGTGAGACGAGAGGAGTGTCCCCACTGGAGGATCAGGGCGTGGACAGCTTTTGGGACAGACAGACAGTGGGTTGGCCCCCCTCCTGGGTCAGATTCTCGGGCTTGGGCCTGTTTTACAGTATTTTCCAAATTCCACCTGATAGGAACTATCCTGTCAGAGTTTTTGCTTTGTAAGGTCTCATTTTTGCTACTAGAGGTCCCTATGGTACTCTCGTGTCAATGTTGTGCCTCTTGTAATCAGTGCTATTGTTTTCACATGTGCCTCGTTCTGGGCTGTGTATTTAAGCTGGTCACTTCCTTTGTATCTTTGCTTGGTTATTGTGGTTCCTAAGCCAGTTGCTGCCGTAAGTCTGCTCTAGTTCAAAGCACTATACTTTGAAAGCTTTTTTTGGATTGTTTCCCTGTGTTTAATTTGGCTATTTTTGTCTTTTTCTTGAGTTTTGGTTTTAGAGATTATTATTCTCCTTTTTGGACTGAAGATTTTTCTGTTTTGTGGCTTTCATTAAGAAAAGGATTTTTGTACCCTTTCTGCTGTTTTTTTTTTAATTTTATTTTTAGGAGTTTGCCGAAAGCCCTTAGCCAGAGCCAGCTGATGCATCCATATAAAACACACAAATGTGATAATCAGCCAGTGCCAACAGCCTGCTGCTCAGATACATCCATACAGCAGTGTCACAAAGGAAAGTGCTCAGCTTTTGAAACGCTGATTAAAAAAAAAAATAAAAAAAGTTAAAACGATGGCATGTACATTCCACATTACATCGCAGTAACAGTGTATTTGCCAAGTAATTAGGTTTATCTGCACAGCAAAATGTGGCGTCCCAGATTCATCCTAATGTCTGACCCCTTGAATGTCAGAGCCGGGGCTCGAACTAGGGTCTCTGGCACAAGAGTCTTACTTTCCACCACTGAGCCACAGGAGGCAGTTGAACCCAATAGTCAGACGCGTTCTTAAATTAACTCAGAAGAGTTTATTTAACAAAAAAAACAGCAGAAAGGGCACAAAAATCCTTTCCTTAATGAAAGCCACAAAACAGAAAAATCTTCAGACCAAAAAGGAGAATAATAATCTCTAAAACCAAAACTCAGGAAAAAGACAAAAATAGCCAAATTAAACACAGGGAAACAATCCAAAAAAAGCTTTCAAAGTATAGTTCTTTGAACTAGAGCAGACTTACGGCAGCAACTGGCTTAGGAACCACAATAACCAAGCAAAGATACAAAGGAAGTGACCAGCCTGATCTTTACTGTTGGGACCTCTACAACCTCCGGTTTAGAGAGCGCTGTCACCTGGAATGATATTCATCATAAGATCAATACACACGGCGGGCCTCTAAAGTATGAGTTCATTTAAAGTCTGTGTTCAATTGTCCATCATGTCCTGCAAAATAAGTAATCAAACATTACATGTTTATTTGGCTTTCATGTAAATAAAATAGTGTATCTGAACATGAATATCTATTATTTTTCTGTCCACAGGTATGGCTATCCAGACCCTGACTACCTGAAGAGAGTAAAGGATGAGTTGAAGGCCAAAGGCATTGAATGAAGATTTTATTGATGTTCCCAAATGCACATCTAAGCCAAATGTTTACAAATAAGCCATTGATTGATTATTATATTGTAATATACTTATTTTATATATAGTGACTTTCAGAAGTATTCAGACCCTTGACCAGTTTACTGAAAAACAAACTATTGAACTCTTGTTCGGTGTGAAGCAACTCTTAAATCTCAAAATTAATTATTTGAAAGCAGGATTGGTTTTAACAAAATAAATAAAAAACTAAAAACATACAATCTTCCAAAAAATGCAACCCCCTCTGCTCTGGAGATCCATGTTTACACAGCTGAAATTACAAATCATGTTTAGTATGGCCCATCAGAAGCTGCAGAAGATAATAAACAAAGAATATGCGGGACTTGCGGGATGATGTTTCTGAAGAGCAGCGGTCAGTTTAACTGCTCAGGACTAACAAAGGACTCATGAAAAAACAGTCATGGATCATCCAGGTAACAGTATTGAGAATCAAGCGTATGCAAACTTTTGAACGGGCTCATTTTGATAAATTCAGTTATTATTTTGTCTTCTGGTGTATATGTAAACATCTGTTATGTGAAATACCATATTCAGGACAGTAACATGTTTTCAGGACAGTAACAAATGTTTATGATCCCTCTTATTTTGTTAAAATTGTGACAATTTGGCAGATTCTGCAAGGTGTATGTAAACTTTTGACCAACTGTATATATTGGTATTGTTTTAATTAAGGTGATGGGCTTTCATGATGTCCAGTTGTAATGAAATGTTTTAGCCTGAAGTTGTCTTGTGATTTTCATGCGTATACACTGCAAATATGAAGTCAGTATATAAAGTACCACACTTAAAGGCACTTGTGTTGGTCCTGATACTCGCATATATTAAAAAGTGTGTAGTACTTATTTTAATGTGGGACTATGGAAAAAACGTATGTTTGTGATTATATTTAGATTTAAATGTTAAAGTTGAACATACATTATAGTTCTGATAAAAATGTGTAACCACAATTTCTCAGAGAAATCAACCTACCAATGGTTTGTTTATGTATAGAAAGCTGAATGCAAAACATGCAAAACATGGCACACTTCACCAAATCTTTCACAAACTGCCTATAATAATACTTGTTGATTTTACTTTTAAAATGTATGCTTTTTTTCTCAGTGCACCTCTTCATATTTTAGCTCTTGTTTTCAGAAAGCAAAGGATGACTTTATCTCGGAACAAATTTGAATGATTAATCTTGGGTTTTTGTTTCAATCATATTGAAAATGACACATTGTTTGGACAAAATGTATTGAAGTTCTAACTTTTGGAAATATTTTTTCCTTGTAAACAAGTTGTCATAAATAAAAGAAATCAGCTTTAAAATATTTACAATTGTTGTAGATTGTTTCTCTTGTAGGGTTTAAAAGTAACAAATACCTTTGTATACCTGTTACAACCAATGGCTCTTACAATTCTATGGCTCTCTTTTCACAGGGCTCTGCTCTTACATTTACATTTAATCATTTAGCAGACACTTTTATCCAAAGCGACTTACAAATGAGGAGAACAATAGAAGCAATCAGACGAACGAGAGAGCAACAGTATACAAGTGCTGTGACAAGTCTCAGTATCTAGCACAGTACACACAGCTAGGTTTTTTTTTTTAAAAGAATGGAATAGAATAGAAAAGAATAGAATAGGTAAGTGCTAGTATTAGTTCGTCAGGTGCTGGC